CTGCGCTGGTTCATCACCGGGATCCTGTGTGCTTCCTTCCTGGGGCTGGTGAGAGCAGGGCTGGAACCCTCCCGGGCCGGGGCATGAGCAGGCGTCCTGCAGGGAATGTGGTCTCGCCTCCGCCGCTTGCAAACTGTGTGACCTTGGCGCCTTAACGTGCCCGAGCCTCAGTTTTGTAATCTGGAAAATGGGCACAATTCTGTTCTTGGAGGGTTGTTGTCAAGTGCGAAATTGATTTTCCAGCTCCAGCAAACCTTCCTACCCCTCCTCCGTGGGGTGGGGAGACACAAGAGGGGTTGTCAGGTCCATAGTCGCTGCCTCACCCACCCTTTCAAATTATTACACAAAAACTGTTTTTCTGGGACTTTCTCTTCTCACCCAATTCAGCCAAACCCTTATTTTTGCAGATGGGGAAATACAGCCAGAGAGGGAAAGTGACTTGCCGACGACACAGCTAGTTAAGAGGCAGAGCCTGGAATAACATATCTCTTATTTTACCCACGATTCCATGTCAAACAAACCTTCAGATTCTTCGGTGTTTTTCTTAGAGTAAGCTGCAAGGCCAGAAGTTCCTTTTGCCAATCCCCGCCATTCCCTTATTTCGGGAAGCCTACCCCTCGTCACTGGTCTGAATGTTGGGACCCTGGGGAGTTGGGAGGGTGTGTCCTCTGGGGAGAGTCGCGTCTGGTCACCTAGAATCTCTCTCTGAGCCATAACTGATTCTTAGAATATTTTGATTTGAGAAAAATAAAAATGATTGCAGCCGCTTGATGAGCCCGGACTGTGTGCCGGATCCTGTTGTAAATGCTTTGAAGGCAGAAACTGATGACAGCCGGGTGGCTGAGTCTGCCCTCCCTGGGGTGTCCTCTGTGCCTGTCCCGAGGGACTGCTCCCGCTGGGCAGGGAGGCGGTGCAGCCCAGCGTTTAGAGCAGAGCAGTGCAATTAGAATAAATTGTTCTCCCCCACCTTTTGATTGAATTTATTGGGGTGTTATGGTTAACAGTATTTATGTTTCAGGTGCACAATTCTTACAACACATCATCTGTACACTGTATTGTGTATTTACCACCCGGAGTCAGGTCTCCATCACCATTTCACCCCTATACTTTCCTCCACCTCTCCCCTCCCCATCACCACACTGTTGTGTGTCCAGGAGCTTTTTCTCCTTTTTGCTCAATCCCTCTACCCCCAGTCTCCTCCACAGCTGTCAGTCTGCTCTCTATTTATGAGTCTGTTTGTATTTTGCTTGTTATTTCATTTTGTTAATTGGATGCCACAGATGAGTGAAATCATATGGTACTTGTCTTTCTCCGACTGGCTTATTTCACTTAGCATAATGCTCTCCAAGTCCACCCATGCTGTTGCAAAGAGTAAGAGTTCCTTCTTTTTTATGGCTGAGTAGTGTGCACGAATTCGTGCATGGGTGGGGTCTGGCCCACCCGCCCCACTTGGGGCCAATTAGGCCTGGCTGGCCAGGGGGAGGGGCCATGGGTGGTTGGCCTACTGGCCCTGCCCCCTGGTCGAACTCCCAGTTGAGGGGACAATTTGCATATTAGCCTTTTATTATATAGGATTACATAGGATGTGGCAAAAGAGGCTTTGCAGGTGTAGTTAAGTTGAGGATCTTCAGATGGGGAGAGTATCCTGGATTATCCAGGTGGGACCAATATAATCACAAGAGTTCTTATAAGACGGTGGTTCTCAACCTTGGCTGCACATTAGAATCACCTGGGAATCTTTTTTAAATCCTGATTTCTGGGCCTCATCCTCCGGAAATTCTGTTTCTTTGTTATGGGGTGGGGCCACAACATTAGTAACAAAGAAACAGAATTTCCGGAGGATGAGGCCCAGAAATCAGGATTTTAAAAAGATTCCCAGGTGATTCTAATGTGCAGCCAAGGTTGAGAACCACTGTTCTAGATAATACTCCTGATGGTGTGGGGTTTATTTGAAGAAAAACGTAGCTTTATAAATGTTTAAATTGTTTATCTCCTGCGTGTTTTATTTGCCGTTATTCAAAGGAATGACCGACCCCATGTGCATCCAGAAATACTGCCGCCTGTTCCCCACCCCCCACCTCTCCTTTCTTCCTCCTCACCTAAGGGCTTCCCTGGCTGCTGGTTTTGCATTCCCACTGTCTTTCTGGTGTTTGGGCTGGAAATGTTAGCACAAGAGGTCCCAACCTGTAGCTGGAATATATTAGTAAATATTTTTTTCCTCTTTATTTTTTTCCATCGCCATATATCTCCCTATATCTTCTTCCACCTCCACGCACCCCCTCCCCACCCTCAGTCACTACACTGTTGTCCATGTCCATGAGTTCTTTCTTTTTCTGTGTTTTTTTTGTTTTGTTTTTTTGCTCAATCCCCCAGGGGCTGTCGGCCTGCTCTCTCTCTATGGATCTCTCTTTTGCTTGATAGTTCAGTTTGCTTGTTAGATTACACATACTGTCTATTTTAACATCAAAAAGGGGGAATAATATTTTGATGGTTTAATAGTTAAAAATTGTAACATCTAAATTCTGTGTCAGCTATTTGTGCATGTAGTATGTTTCAAAGTATACAAAACTTTCAAAAATTATCTTAATGTTACATTTTACTAACTGTTAATACAAAACAGTCTTTTATGGTATTGTCCAAAAAGGAAACAATTGTAGCAAAAGCCAAAAGAATTAAAGAATTTTTTTTAAAAATTGGGAGTTGTTAAAACTAGAAAAACAGTAGGAGTTGGCACACTGAAACTAGTGAAAAAAAGCTACCACATAGATAGGCATTATTTTAATGGTTGTAAAGAAAACCTTTTGTCTTTTAAAATCTTAGGGATCGAGTGTCGCCATCCTGGGTCCCACGTTTCAAGATTTGGCAGCAAATGTAAACCGTAATATCAGCAGCCTTTCTCTGATTTTTGTGGGCCGTGCGACGGGATATTTGAGTGGCTCTGTGATTGGTGGAGTTCTTTTTGACAGTATGAATCCTTCTCTCCTTTTGGGTAAGTAAACTAATTTTACCTTCTTTATGACTTTCAGGGAATTTATAATTTGTTTTTAAATCTGAAACGTACTAGCTTGCAGAGCGGTTGACAACTGAAGTGGGTAGTTAGGCCTCCTCAGAAGTCAGGTTTCCCTGCTGCCTGCCGTTTCGGGAACCGGTGCTGGGCCGCTCTGGTGACTCAGCCCTAGAGTGTGTTAGCGTCCTTGGCCTGTCATTTAGGCACCACCCCTGGATCACATACTAGTGGTCCAAAGAGCTCTGCTTGTCAGAGTTTAAGGCAGATCTGGGGTCACTATAGATCAAAATGAGTTTCTTGAACCTGCCTAAGCTAACCCGGGGGCGGAGAATGGAGGGGGTGGTGGGAGTGGTGAGATCACATAAGCTAAATTTCTGTCCCTGCTGCCCATGTCAGTGATGACCCCAGACCTCTCTGCCTCACCCTTGAAATAGATGGCAAAGCTTTTAATTTACTCTTTTTAAAATAAATTGACGTGCTCACAGAAAGTTTGGATTAATGTGATAGAACTGCTTTGGAGAAAAGGAAAATAATTTACTATTGTTGATGAATAAATAAATAATCCTCTGATTTCCAGATGTGTTGGAAGAATATACTTCTTTTGATTTCCCTCCCTAGTCCCCAAACTAACTTTATTTAATCCATTTCTACTGCAACCTACTATAGTAATTGCATTTTATTTTTTATCTTTTTTTTTTAACCTCAGATCTAAAATTCTCTTTAGGTTCTTAAATATGAAATATTTAAATAAATAATTTTAGAGCTATCTGTTTTGCTATAAAACTTTGCCTTGTGGTATATAGTTTGATTATTAGCAGTGCTAGAAATGTATTCATGTTCGAATAATTTTTATAGTCCATCAAGATTTAAAAGCTTTTAAATGAAATAACTGTTTGTAGAAGCTGAACCTCTCAGGTGCTGACTTGATCCATGCCTCTCTGCACGAACCTTGTTTCTCATTGCTGACCTTTACCTTTCTTCTTAGGGCTGTCAATGTTGGCTACCACAGTCGGTCTTTATCTTGTTCCATTTTGTAAGACTGCGGTATTACTGATTGTCATGATGTCCGTCTTTGGTGTTTCCATTGGTATTCTGGATACAGGTCAGTGAGCCTTTCGGTGTCGTCTCTGGGACTAAGGACTTTGTACTAGAACAAGCAGAGCCGATGATATTAAATTGTCACTTGCAGGCACTGGCCTACTGACTTGCTTATGGGGTCACCTAGTCAGAACTACCCTTCTGGCAAGTACTCTTTCTGTCAAATAGGGTACCTACTAGTATGTTTGCGCAGCCAGCCACAGAGTGAATTTAAATAATGTTGTTCTGTGAGAGATTATTGGTTTACAGTATCCAAATAGGGACTCGTTCCCCACTCCCCATGTGGATAACTCAGTGCAGATGAGCAAGTTTTCATTTTGGGATATAACTGGATCACTGTAGTATGGGAAGAATTGGTGGGTCAATAGGCTGAACCAAGTTTGGAACCATTATTTTGCTGAGAAATCATAGAAGCAGCTCTTTAATTTAAAATGCACTCTGCCTTTCAGACTAAGAGAAACCTGTGCTATGTATTATGTTTCTTCTCTTCCTTTTCTCTCAAAAGTCCCAGCCCTCCTGCAGGAGATCCTCTCCATGTATCATGTATCTTGATATGTTTTAAAACCTACAAAATAACGTACATGACATTTGTTCATCCCTAAAACCACCTTTCTCCCCCTCCCCCCACTCTACTGTTATTTGATAGGTCAGGAAAATATTTTATACTTTAGGCTTAGTTTGGTTGTGAAATTACAGGGTGGAATTTATCTGCAAATATATTAAAAGAAAGAAAGTTATACTTTAGGCTTAGTTTGGTTGTGAAATTACAGGGAGGAATTTATCTGCAAATATATTAAAAGAAAGAAAAAATTCAAGACCTTTCACCTTGCCAGGTGTATAGATAGTGTACGTGCAGGTGCTAGACGTACGATACTCTTGTTTCCTGCAACAGGCACAGCAGAATCCTTAGTGTTCAAGTCTCTGAACATGTGTTTTACATATGCTATATACATAAGTAATATTCCTCAAGTGGCTGTCAATTGCAAGTACAGAAGGAGTTGGTAATTTGGTCATGATCTGATGATAATATATAGTTATAAATAAACATATGCATATCTTCCCACCCCCCAGGCTGGCATTAGAACTGTATTATAAATAGCCTTGGGAGCCTGTGCCTGGTTCAAGGAGGTAGTGGTTTACCAGCTTGTGGAATTCCATTTGTGAGTTTTTGATGTTACAGTGCTTGGAGGTCTCTGGTGGTGGTGGATTGGAGTTCCTTAATCATGGAATTGACTTAGTTGCAACATTTGATAACTTAGAATATTATAATCCTTGTGCCATGTAAAGTAGACTCATCTCCTTTCTAATAGTAATGAACTGTTCTTTTTTTTTACTAAGTTATTATGATTAAATAATTTGTCTCATCTTTCATTGGTAGGTGGTAACGTCTTGATCTTGGCTATTTGGGGGGACAAAGGAGCCCCACATATGCAGGCCTTACACTTCAGTTTTGCCGTGGGTGCCTTTTTGGCTCCACTGCTGGCTAAATTGGCATTGGGCGCGACGGTGTCTGCTGGGAACCACACCGAGGCTGGCTTTAACCATTCTGCCCTCGACCTGTCACCTGAAGCTGGCTCAGAACCTCTGTTCGGAGTCCCTGACAATATGAATCTCCTGTGGGCTTATGCCGTTATTGCTACGTACATATTTGTAGTGTCTATCTTTCTTTTTGCTCTGTTTTTCAAAAAAAGCTCACAGCACGAAAAAGCAAAAGCATCTGCTCAGAGGTCTCGAAGAGCCAAATATCACAACGCACTTCTCTGTCTCCTTTTCCTGTTTTTCTTTTTTTATGTCGGAGCTGAAGTGACGTATGGCTCTTACGTTTTCTCATTTGCAACCACTCATGCCGGCATGGCCGAAAGTGAGGCGGCTGGGTTGAACTCCATCTTCTGGGGGACCTTTGCAACCTTCAGGGGCCTGGCAATCTTTTTTGCTACATGTTTACAACCTGGGACCATGATTGTGTTGAGCAACATTGGCAGCCTGCTGTCGTCATTATTTCTGGTGCTTTTTGACAAGAGCCCGACTTGTCTGTGGATAGCGACGTCAGTGTATGGCGCCTCAATGGCAACCACGTTTCCCAGCGGTGTTTCTTGGATTGAGCAGTACACGACCATCCATGGGAAAGCGGCAGCGTTTTTTGTAATTGGTGCTGCCCTGGGAGAAATGGCTATTCCTGCCGTCATTGGGATTCTTCAAGGAACATATCCCGATTTGCCTGTTGTTTTGTATACCTCTTTGGGGTCAGCAATAGCCACTGCTGTTTTATTTCCTGTGATGTATAAATTAGCCACCTCACCTCTCAATCGTCAGCAAAAAGAACACAGAAAGAGTGAGGACCAGCAGTCGTTGCTCTCTAGCTCTGGACTAAATGACCACGAGGAAGAGAATGAAGAAGATGATGCAGAAAGATGGAACAAAATGGATTTTGAAGTGATTGAAATGAATGATACCATGAGGGATTCTGTAATAGAGACATCTGGAAATATTGTGACGGAGTCCATAGCAGAAGTCTCCCACCAGTTCCACTCAAATGCATAAGTGTGTGAGTTCTCGCCAGTTAATACTGGCAAATGCCCTGTGAATCACCTTGCAAGAAACCAGGACAAGAGGGACTAACACATAGAGGGGATGGATTATTTACGAACTTTCTTAAATAATTGCCAGTTCTCTCAAGAGGCCAGTTGGAGCAGAGCATGAGCAGATTTTCAACATGCTTTGGGGATCAAAATGCCTGTGTCAGTGTGCAGCAAATGCTGCAAAGTTTTGATATGTTCTGTAAATCCCAGAGTCTTCCATAAAGAACCACTGGTCTCAGCAGGATCTTGTCAGGCTAGTGTTTGGCCTGTGGCTCGTTAGGTAATATTTTATGGTCTCCAGCTCTCAGAGCATGCAATGAAGGCATTTGTTTTTGAGAAGTTGGGTGGTGTTTTCATAGAGTGAAGCCATCTAGTTGAATTGATTAGTTGAACAAATTATCAGCCATCAGTATCGTACCAGGAAAGCTAAAGAGAGTTGTTTCATAAAATAGCCTCTTTGAAAATGGACAGAGATTGTTATTGTTTTAGCCTATCTGTAGTGTTGGGCCAAAGAACGCTAATGCCTCATTGGATGTCTGAATTCTGAGAAGAGAGCACAGAACTGGGCCCCAGAGACCTGGCTTCAAGCCTTGGCGGCTGCTCACTAGCCCTACGGCCTGGACTCTGTCGCTTAACTTACCTAGGCCTCATGTATCTCATCTCTCGATCTCTGATTCTGTAAGTGAAACTGAGACGACTTTCAAACTAGGAATCCCTACGTTTTAAAGTTTGTGTAAGATGTCTGCTAGAAATTAATGCAAGTGCCACCCCTTTCTTCATTTCAAATGAGAAGTGAAACAAAATTGATAGCTTCAAGAATGTGCTACAGACTATGAATACATGTCAATTTTAAGAGACTCGGTGTTTAATGCTTTGAATAATTATCTAGAGAATACATTTTAAATGTATTTCATCGATTCTAAGATAACCTTTTTTTCACATTTTTAACATCGCTGAAATCAGAATATGTCTTAAAATCAATGATTATTTAACATTGTGACAAATTGAATTGACAGTTTTTTCCATATGCATATATAAGTGTTGCGTTTTACAACCAGTGTCTTCGATCCCGTGGAATATGCAATTCATTCAATTATGGAGATTATTTTTAACCATTTTAAAAAGAAAGATTATTTTTCTATGCGACTTTTTTCTATGTTAAAATGAGGTTTGGAAATGCTGTGTTCCGATCGGGGTCTCTGGAGGGCCTTTGCCTACCTCAGCAACAGTCTGGACCTGAGGCTTGCTGGTCCAGGTTCGCTCCTCCTTGAGTCTGATAGGTAATCGCATTGTGAGCACTGTGAACCGGCCGCTAGTTCCACTGGCAGGCAGGCACAGCTCCCCGTGGTTGGGATACTTGTATCCCCTCTCCAGGGCTCGCTCTTCCTGAGTTTGAAATACTTAGGAAATCAAAGTAATGATGAGAAAGTGGCTTGGTGGCCTAGGAGTTAAGGATCACAGGGTACTTCATATGCAGAGTGTGGCAAAGCTGGTGCGGGCCATCCTTTGAAAAATTACTGGCATTGAAGACAGATTTTGTTCACTTCTCTTTACTCAGTTTTATGCTGAATAACATAATAATTTCTACCTGATTGCAGTATGTCTGCTTTCTCTTAAGTATATAAATTTGCCTTTGCTTTTTTCTTAAGTGAATTACAGTGCTTTTCTTGACCACTGCCCGTTCACCTTATCTACCTGCCAATATATTAGTTTATAGTAATAATCTAACAATTTTGGGGAGGGCTGGTGGAGAAATGAAGAGTGAAAACCCATGCTTCTTGCTCTTTTTACACTGCACTTTTCTCTTAGCTGGAACTTGGAGATAACCTCTGCTCTATTTATTGCCCTTCCTTGGGTTGTTGGAATTTAGACAGTAGAAGATGCAGCTCAGGGAGAGAAGGAAGATAGTAAGAACATAGCAGAAAATTTAGAAATCCACACTGGAAAATTCACTAGAGTTGCACAAACCAAAATGTGAATGGCCATATGAGGTTATAGGCATTGTTAAAGTTTGATAATGTATTTCCATATTGGAAGAATAAGACTTAGTACAATTCCAAGAATTAGCATTCATCTTAATAATCAGTTCTTTTCTTTTTTTTAAATCCTCACCTGAGGGTATTTTTCCATTGATTTTTAGAGAGAGTGGAAGGGAGAGGGAGAGACACAGAGAAACTTCGATGTGTGAGAGGCACATTGATAGGTTGCCTCCCACATGCACCCCCACCAGGGCTGAGGGTCAAGCCTGCAGCCGAGTTACATGCCCTTGACTGGAATCAAATCTGGGACCCTTCGGTCTGCAGGCCGATGCTCTAATTACTGAGCCAAACCGGCTAGGGCCTAAGCTCTTTCCCTCAATGCACTTTGGCTAATTGGCATCTGAATTAGGTTGAACTTGAGTTGGATTTTTATTTAGTTATAAACAGGTTCATATCTACTGTTTAAGGTTTTATAACACAACTTTTACAGTCAAGGAGAATTGTTCTTTATTTTCCAACATTTTTCTGTGGTTACCTTATGTCCTCTCTTGTCCTCTATTCCTGCCCTGTTTATTTTAAAAATTCTTTCAGAGATGATCCCTTAGCTTTTTGCACTGTGGCTGTTAATTCTTGTATATTGTTTTAATGTCTTCCCTTTGGCTTATATTTTAAATTGCAGAATGCTGTTTGTGTCTGGTCTCTGAATGTATTTCAGCTTGCCTTTGATGCATTTGGTTATGTTGGTTAATGGATGGCCTGGAGAAACGTTTTGAAGTTGTTCAATGACATGAGTAGCTTCAGGGGTTGGGCTTTTTAGCTTCTGAGTTTAAACTTGTGGAGTTTATAAGGTGCTTTAAACAATTTATTTTTAACTGAGATAAAATATACATAACAAAATTTATCATTTTAACCATTTTTAAGTGGATAGTTATGTGGCATTAATTACATTCACATTCTTGTGCAGCCATCACAGCCATCACCCACAGAACATTTTTCATGTGTTCTGAACTCTGTACCCATTAAACCAGCGGTCGCCAACTGTGTTCCGCAGACCACTGAGGGTCCGTGAGGTCCGAAAGGTTGGCGACCACTGCATTAAACAATAACTCTCCATGCCACTCTCCCCCAGCCCCTGACAACCTCATTCTACTTTCTGTCTTAGGAATTTTTTTTTCTTTTAATCCTCACCCAAGGATATTTTTCTATTGATTTTTAGAGATAGTGGAAGAGAGAGAGGAGATGGTGGGGGAGAGAGAGAGAGAGAGACATCGATATGAGAGAGACATATTGACTGGTTGCCTTGAATGTGCTCCAACTGGAGCCAGGGATCGAGCCTGCAACCGAAGTACATGCCTTTGACCAGGAATTGAACACTGTGGTTCACAGGCTGGCACTCTAACCACTGAGCAAACTGGCTAGGGCTGAAATTTTTTTTAATCTGAAAGACCAGTGGTATTTAATTAGTAGTTACAATATAATGATTCGATATTTTTATACCTTACAGTGTGATCACCCCACTAATTCTACTTCTTGTCATTATGAATTTGACTACTCTGAGTACTTCATTTGTGTGGAATCATACAGTATTTGCCCTTTGATGACTGGCTTGCTTCACTCAGTGTAATATCTTCAAGGTTTATTCATGTTGTAGTATGTTAAAATTTCCTTTGTAAGTCTGAATATTATTCCGTTTTATGTATATGTTGTTTATCCACTTATCTGTTGATGGACACATGGGTGATTTTCACTTTTGGCAATTGTGGGTAATGCGGCTATGAACATTGATGTGCAAATATCTGAATCTCTGCTTTCAATTCTTTTGGGTATATCCCCACAAGTGAAATTGCTGGACATATGATAATTTTATTTTTAAATTTTTTTGGGGTGCTTTCTTTTATTATTTGGCTTAGCTATTGTACTAATCCTGTTTTTCCAGAAGAGACCTGCTATTGGAAGAGGATAGAGAAACCGACTTTTGGCGTGTCAGCATTTTGAAAAATCTTAACTCTGGTGCCGTGTCATATATAGAATTTTTTTGATATTTGCAACCATAGTAAAACAAAGATTTATATTTTTGATATTTATTTTATATATTTAAATGCCATTTAACAAAGAAAAATCAACCAAAAAAATGAGTTCATAGGTTCGCCATCACTGCTCTAGGCAGACTTTTGGCCCATTAAAATCATCTCAGTATCACTCATGTACTGTGTAATTAAACTCAAAAAAAGGTTATGTTAGGCATCTACCTCAAAGTTTTGTTATCTCTGCTTCCGGTTTTTGTTGCCTTTGGGCAAGGATTTGAGAGCATACTTTTGTGCTAAGCACTGGAGACTAAGAATGAACGAACTTCCTCTCCTGGCCTTGGCGTACCAGGTGTCATTATCATGTATTTTGGAGTTTTGGTCCCAGTTTTCTGCTAAACCAGTGGTCTTGTGTTGTGTGCCCTTTATGTGTAACCTCTGGCCACCTTGGAATCAGGTCGTGTGCAGTCGGGAAACCATGGGCTGGATTGGGCCTGGAGCCCTCAGGAGCTGGGCCCAGTGCTGGGGCCAGGCTGCTGGCTCTATACCTCTTTCTCCCAGCAGCCGTGTCCCTGGGCTTAGTGAATACTTGCTAGTGGATGCCTGAACGGATGCACATTGTCAGGCACTGGCAGTGGTGGTCTGTTTCATGTTTTGAAAAGGAATTGGAAAAAATCACACCCAAGTGCAGAACTTAACCTTCTTAGAGAAGGTTAGTGGACTGTTGGATTTTTTTACCAAGGAAAATAGCTCTGTCCTAATAGGGTGGCATGAGTGAGATACAGAAGGGCTCCCAGTTTGTATTAAAGCTCTAATCTCTGTGAACCAGAAAGATTTCCAAGTCCACACCTTTCAGCCATTTAACAGATATCTGCTGAGCACATAGTGTGTTTAGCAATCACCCTGGGAATATAACTGAGGACAAGGCCAATGAGATCCTCGCCTCCACCAAGCTTTCAAGTAAGATTTGCTGTCACAAATCTGTTAGCTGAAGAGCCAGTACATTTGAATGTAACAGGTTTTATGTAGTTTCAGAAAAGGCAGTAAAGTAGTGAGCTCCTGTTTCCCTGGTGTATGTTTGTGTCTGTTCATGTCTAGGATTTTTACATGTAATCGTTGAGGTCACCCTTTAGAGTTTTGTGAAAATTACGTAGCCCAGTGCAGTTGAGGTGATTACAGTGAAAACCTGCTCATGAAGCCTCCAGGGCTGAGTCTGATCCCAGCGGGGACTTACTTGTTCAGTACAAAGGCCGTGGGCATGGTGCACTGCGTGGGGTCACACCTGTGGGCTCCCTGAGCAGGTTCTCATTCCTCAGCCCTTTTACGTTATCACTCGCAGAGAACTTTCTCCTCTGCGGAGGAGCTTGCCCAGTTCCGAGTCCAGGCACTCGTTGGACCTTGACCCTTGGTGAAGATAGACTCAAGAGGTAGGAGCACTTAGGAAGGGACACGTTTACCTGCAAAGAGTACTTTTACTGCCTTAGTAACTTTCAAATATACAAGACAGTGTTGGTAACTTAGAGTCACCATGCCAAATAAGAACACAGTATTTACAGGAGAAAAGCCAGACCTCCCAAGATTCCCAAGTTCGCATTAGTCTGTTCATGGTGGACAAGCAGTCGCTTTCCCACACGGTTATCAGATTCACAAAAGTCGTGACAAGTCTCTAGGCGTCAGCACAGCAAACACCGGGGATAAAACTGCTTTGCTAGGGAGCCAGGCTTCGGGGAAATGGTTGAGGTTTTATTGTGTTTGAGATGGGAACCAATCAGATGGCCCGGTTACATTTGATTTATCTCGGGTGCAAAGTGTCTCCTGACGGTGATATGGGAAGTGCTTTGTCATCTTGAGCAGGACAGAGTGACATTTTGCTTCTGTACACCCTCCGGGAGGAAGAAGGGCCCCGGGAGAGCTGCGATTGCAACACACATTCTTGTTCTGTGGTCAAGTGATAAGTCTTTGCTCAAGTGGTTTTTAACCCTGACTGCTGTTAGGATCACCTGGGCATGTTCAAAACTGATGATGCCCAGCATTATTACTGAAGAGTTGGATTGGCCTGGGGGGAGCCCGAGGATTGATGAAGTCCCCCAGTCACTGCACTGGGCCTTCGAGGCTGAGCACACTGCTTTCATCAGTGCAGAGCACCGCGGCCTCTGCTAGTTGCAGTGGTTTTTAAAGACTCCCTTACAGCCCGGTTAAGTCATGCGGTTTCTGTAGATGCTTCCAGTTTTGTGCGCTTTCTCTGAAGGAAAACTGTTTCCTGCCAGCTCCGCTGAGGCTTGGTCAGTAAAGGAGGTAATCAATGCTGTCTGACATCCTGCTCAAACTGAAACCAAACCTGGGCCTTTTGGAGGTTGCCCTTCTAGATAGGCTTTCGCTGATCAATTTTGACTTGGTGGGGCTTAGTGGGCAGGGGTGGTCTTGTAGATTTATTACGTCTGGATTTAAGACTGCTCATTGTTTACATGGCTTTGTACAGTGTAAAAGCGTGTTTGAATAAAATGTTGATATAAATAAACGCTGATGCTGGTTTAACATAAGATTTGTGTCTCATTTCATGGGTGTTTAAAAATTAATTTGGTGTCTCACCAGAAATTAGTCAAGAGTATTTCCAGATTTGAGATTGTGAGTGCTCCAAAATGAATGTGATGATTGTATGGGGTTCCTAAAATGTGAATAGTGTTTTATTTTCACTTCACAGATATTTTAGCAATGACATCTAACATCTTGGATGACATCTAACATCTTTGGCCCTTCAGCTTTGCCGGGCTGACCAGCCGACCCTGAGCGGCGGAGGAATGATTACTCTGACGTACGTTTCTATGAAAGAGAGGGCTAAGGGACTACCTGGCTAGAGAAACCAAACAGTCCCATTGGCCTATCTCCTTAGGCTTTTATTGTAACAATAGCTTGAACTAAAATTAACTTTTAGATACTATCAGCAGGGTAAGTAGCCTTGAGAAGACACACGTGTCTCAGTGTCCTTTAAGCAAGGATGTCTAAAGACTAAGCATAAAGATTCCAGTAAACACACGGGGCTCAGACTTGTTTGGAAAAGTCAAGGCAGGGTGGTCACCTTCAGCCAGCTCCCCCCGGAGGTTCTGACCTTTTGGAATTTCCTCCTTACAAACTTTCCAACTAAGTC